TTAATCATTAGGGTTGGTGCCGGATTTATCATCCCTATCATGGAATCTTGGAAAAGTTAATAGAAAACTCTCTTCAATTTCCTCATATGTACAACAGAAAAACAACAACTGTAACAACGAGTATTGTTATTAGTAGTGTTAGGACTGCTAACAGGACCAACAGAACACTTGATTCTGAAACACTCCATATGGTGTTTAGCACATAGGGCTCAATGGGTTGGTTAGTGAGTTAATCATAATCTTGAGAGTTAAAAAAAATATGGCAGAAAATAAACACAATAGCAAAACAGATATTTCTGGATATCTAGCAATCAGTTATTCTTTTTTAATGTTTTGCCTTTGTATTGTTTTAACTTCCTTTACTTATTCTAGTCTCATTCAATTGAGCAAACATACTGCTATCAGAGGACTTGACTTAAAGTATAATTCATAAACCATATATGCTAAGAAGCATTAAAATATTCTCCTTGTAATAAAATACGAACCTCTTTAGATGAAACTACGTGCACTCAGAAATCATGATGCAAATGCCAACCTACTCTTTCAACTATATTTACTATTTCTCCTTTTGTCTACTCCTACGCTTCAGCTAACTGAAATAAATATGTGGCCTCCCAACTACTCCCTGCTCCAATTTCTCCAGGTGAAAATACTTCCTTGGCCCATTATTTGATGGTCTCCAAATTTCAAGATCTGCTTAACAGGACAGCTATTCATTAAGCCTTTCTCGATCCCCTTGAGAAGATGTTTGTATCCCATTTTTATGCTACCAACTTCTTTACTACGAAAAATCATCGGGGGGAGGTGGGTACCTGGTTGGCTCTGTCCCTTAGATGGCTGACTCTTGGTTTCCACTCAGGTCGTGATCTCAGGGTCCTGAAATCCAGCCCCACATTGCTCAGCTCAGAATCTGCTTGGGATTCCTTCTCTCCCCTTCCTTCTGCCCCTTCCCCTGCTTGCTCATGCTCTCTCTTTCTCCCTCTCTCAAGTGAATAAATAAAATCTTAGAAAAATCCTCTGCGTTGCATTCTCTTGACAATTGAATATATTTTATCTTCCATTCAAGATTATGAAGGTGATAACTAATTAGCTTTTTAAGGTGAAAATCTTGGCAAATAATTTTGGGTTTCATTTTTCTGATCTAGTTTCTCTAAACACCCTTTCTTCTATGAAACTCCATAATCATGTTCCCCAATAGACTGCTGCTTCTTTTTTTTTTTCATCCCCAGATCACTTAGGCAGAATCCCAGTATATAGATTGTACAGGATCAAAAGACTGGCTATGCTATCAAACTTAACACATGAGAAAGTGACAAAAAAGTACAAATTTCATAATATGACATAATAGGAATGTTTTCTTTTAAAAAATTTAAACATTGTGTTTTCTGCTTGCTGTTACATTTTGTCTCTACATCTGTGACTGTTTGGAGAACAAAAAAATAACTTTTCAAATAATTGACCAATGTAAAATGGCATGGCTCAGACCTTGGAGAGGCAGTAGAAGTTGGGGACAAACCAGCATATATTGAACTGCATAATTACTAGGAATATAAAACAGTGGTTTAATTATATAATTGTACTCATGCAGGAATAAACAATTTTCTGAAAACCAACCCTAGACCCTCATAAATGACATATGTCTGAAGCAGGTAGAGTTTATTATTCCTAACTCTGAGGAATTAAAGGCATGTTAAGAGGGCATTTGCTTTTTAAATAATGCATAAGGAAGTATATAACCAGAGGCTACAATAAAAAATTGTATTGAGGTATTAAGAATTGATAAAAAATTGATGAGGTAAGAAGAGTGTCTGACATTGGTCACCTACATTGGTATTTCTATGACACTGTTGGATTTATTTGAGTGAGTCGAATAAAGTTAAAGTCAAAATTAAAGTTAAAGAAATTTGTAGTATGATTTAAACAACTCATTAATAAAATGAATCAGGATAAATCTATGTTAACATAGGGCCTCAGATTTATGGAACAAGATTATTTATAAAAACACATCTCTGCTATTTTTACAATATATTTTGCTTTGCTACTTTTTTTCAACCTTTAAGAGAAGAATGGGAAATATTAATTAAATGGATAAGAGAATTATAATAAATTCAAGTCCAAGTTCTTCTATAGAAGAATAGATTCTTCTATTCCTCATCTATTTAACATTTTGTTGGCTGAACTCTCTGTGCCATTGTGTGACAGATAGAAACAAACAAAAGGAAGAAAGAATCATAAGTAGACATGACATCAAAACTAGCTCAATTCAGAGAAATTGGAAAAAACTGAAACTCACTCCTCAAGTCATATACGTTCAGGATTCGGAGAATTTTACAGGTTTTACTTACCTGACCTCCCTCCAGAGCTGGAATCTGACAGGAATCATTTTCATCATTGAAATATACAAACTTCATAATAAGATAAAATTCTATTATGCATTTTACCACTAATACATCAATAAGTTATTTGCCATTACTTTAATTAAGGTAACAGGAACCAGTATCATATTTTGCCATTTATTATGATATTCAGAGGTTGAGGAAAATCCATTCATGGGATTTTTTTTAAGCTATCAAATTTGAGGAAAAACCAAATTCCTAAGGGAAAAAACAAAGAAGTTGATGCAACAGCTTACGTGAATATTCATTCAGTTTTTGTCAAAGACCTAACTTTATTAAACACTAGGAATAACAGTTTATAGAGTCAGACCGATTGAAATATTTTTAGTGGAAAAAAATTATGCAAAACATAAAAGCCAACCTTTCCACAAAGTGGATTGTTCTCCGTTAAAAGTCCAAAGACACTCATCTCCAGTTACATTTATAGCCACATTTAATTATCTGACCAAATGAAAGTGAATTATGGAAGATCAACATCACATATCTCTATTTTGCAATATGATTCATAGAAAGTGCATGTATATAAAATCAGGTACAAAAAATCGCATTTCCAAATCAGCACATCAATCTTGAATTAGGCAATCGAAAAGCACTTGGACAAATGGAAGAGGCTGAAAGCGGGGTTTCACAGGTGTTGCACAGACTATGATATGTCTTCCAGTTTTTGAAAGTGAATTCAAAAACAAAGAAATAAAAGGAAAACAGCTATTTTCAAATTAACTAATGTGTGTAACTATGCTTTTGGAGAACATCTTGTGGAATTAATAAAGCACTCGTGTAAGTCATATTTGAATTCACTTTATCAAAAAATATCATTATTTATTAAAATAACTTGATTTGAAATATCTTGAAACATCTTGAATGTCTTGAAACACCTCATTCCTTAACCACAATGTGTCTCCCCATTTGAATCTAAACCAAAGTTTGATATTTAGGTGTAAGATCTGGTGTGCCAGTCAATAGGAATTTTTAATATATGGATAAATGTCAGTCCTGGCTTTTAAAGAGCTTCCTCCAGGGACTTCCCAGGCATCATGGACTCCCCTGTTTCCCAGATCTAGCATCTAGAGTTACATCAAGGGCCAACAGGGAGCCCTGGGTCCCTGCATTCATGTCATCACTACCTTCTCTTATGATTCATCAATGACCATTGTTAAAGTTTCTTGGTTTGTTTGTTTGTTTGTTTGTTTGTTTGTTTTTGTATGACCACTGAAGAGACCTAGTCTTCACTTGAAATATTTTTGTTTTCCCATGGAGCTGTTGTGTATTAAATATACATAAGACATCCATCTTTGTCATTTTACTTATTGTGGTTGGATTTTTGGTTGTTGACGAGTGGATTTCTGGTGCAAATATCCTTTAAGCATTGAACCAGCAGATCAGGAGCATTCTGCATATTTAGGGAGAACTGCCTGTGGACAGCTATAGGGCAAGTGAAGAGCCAAGTGGTTCACTTAATTTATTTTCCTTTTTTGCTGTATAAATAAGTCTTGACATGAATATCGCACTTTTCTGAGATTATTCATTCAAATTGTAAGTGGTCCTATGAAGATTTCTAAATAGTGAAAATAAAATATGGCTAACCACTTCAAAATTAATCTGTGGATGCATTAGATTTGAATTAAAGGGTATAAGGGTTGGCATGCAACTAAATAAATCAGTCAAGTCAAATACTAAAGGCTAGATTGTGACATAAACTGTGTACAAAATAGGTAGCAAAACAATAGAAATAATCTTTCTTTATCACATTCAATATATTTTCTATACATCAGTGTATCACATTCATGGAAGTGATTATTTATGTATATTGACTTTTTTTTAATACAGGTTATTCAGAATTGCTATGATAATTCTTTAATTATCTATCATAAAATTTTATTTTCTTTCCCATTTATTTGTTTCTGTAGCATATATGAAATTGAATTCCTAATGGAGATGGATGCAAGTAATTCATTTATAGGTTTGTAAAGCCTGCTTGAGTCACAAAGTTTTAACTGTGATAGACCAGACTACTTCACTATTTGAAGGACAGACTTCCATAGAATTCAGCAGTTTTGGAGATGTTGGTAAGTGGATTTACAGTAATTCTGATTTTTAAAATTTATTTTCTAGGAATACACATTGAATATTTAAAAAGTACCCATTTATTAAGTCAAACTTTAGAGAGTGTGTATATGATTCAACAGCAATTAAATATATTATATGATTTTGCTTTATTTATATTAAACACATCATGATTAGTAAGCTTTCGGGTATTATATGTGTGCCTGAGTAGGAGAACAACTCAGAATGGCATAATTTGGTTCATAAAAGGGCCTGTGATTTTAAAGCATTTAAAAAGATTGTCCTATTCTAAAAGGAGAACATAGTCCATAAAATTTGAGAGATCAAATTTAGAGAAGTAAGCCTCAATACTAAAAGACATCCTAGAGCCTAACAGGTAGAAAGAGTTGATATAAAGTGTGCACTTATGTAAGTCAATTTTTTATCACTCTAATAGAAGAAAACATTTTTCTTAACTCGTTAGAAAATTATTATACATTTTTATATATCTTTATATAAAAAGTTACAAGTAGCAAGCATATGACACAAAGAAATGGAAGCGTAACAGCAGTATTCGAGAATGCATGCTTTTTACAATGTGTCTAATAAAAAGGATATTTTTCCAACTCAAATATCCAGTACTGACATGCAAGGTATTTTCTCAAACTGTCAATTCAGTCATATTGCTAAGTGCTTAATCAAAAAACATTTCTACTGATGGGTCTGAATGGTAAATTGCCTGATTTCAAAACCTCTTTCTGAAACTTAGTATCTTCCTTCGATATAAAACAGAAAAGAAATTGGGGATATTTGGGAAAGACTAAAAAAAAAAATCAGATGTTTCTTATTGCAATCTACTATTTTTACTCATGACTCTTGGCTGCATTTAATCATAATACAATAATAGATGTTAATAGTCCATAAAACCTCTAGCTGGTGCTTCCATGGTCCATATTTTCACTTCTTAACTGTAGCATGTTCAAAATCCCTCAGGGACGCACTAGTCTCAAGCAGTCTATCTAATGAAAACAATGTACATGTAACACAAAGTTCATCCAAAATTGTGTTGTTCACATGTCACACAACGTACAATTATATAACAAGGACATAAAACAACATAGAAACAAAGTGAAACTAACAGTAAAAAGAAAACTTGGGATAGTCTTAATCAGGAACTAATTTCTTCTTCAAGTTTCCAGTAAATCTCAAAATGTATTTAAAAACTAAGGAGCACTTGGTGACCAGCAACCAAATTATGAAATGAACATATCATTGTGCAGCGGGGATGTCTTGCCGAAGGAATAACAAATGTCTCTAATTCTTAAGTTTGGATAAAGGCAGTGGAATGAATTTAGAAATATGTCCAATTTTCACAATTCACTAGAGAATTTTCGTTTCACAGTCCCCATGTTTGTATAAATAGTTCTTCTCTGAAAATAAAACACAGTTAAAACATTTTCTCCCAGTGAAAAACGCATACAAATACACAAATTTATCAAGGTAATATAGAGCATGGAAATGCATTCACCTAATTCAAGAATAGTTGATAGGCTTGAAGTGTTTTGAAGAGTTTAGCTGTCAAGCAAATTCAATCGGAGACAAATTAGTCTAATAGAGATATAGATTATCAAGTGCTAAAAGTAAAGCTCTTATGGTATTTGATCACAAAATAGATGTACACATAGACAACTAGTATTTATGGAACATTCACACTGTTAAGCTTTCAAATCTGGTATCGTAGAAGTTGGCATAACGTGCTGCACTTAACTTTGATGAAATATGCCACATGTTCATGCAAAAGTAAAGAGTGCGCACACCGTATAAACACCACCAAACACTTAGTGTATGAATCTGAGTAGAATATTGCCAAATTAAATAAGAAAATTACCAACTGCATGTGTCGGCTTCAGTTACATTGAGACAATATTCCATTGTTTTTGTTATGAAAAACTTGCATTTCTTCTGATATTTTTGAAAATTTACTACTTTTTTATTTTAACTTTAAAATATGTAAAATTTAACTTGCTAATTTAACATCCTTTTTGAAATAACATTCTAGTACAATGCCTGATGATAAGAATATGAACATTTATTTTAAAGATATGTATACTAAAAGCCATCACTCCATCAGCACCGAATCCAGCATATTTCTGATTATGAAGTATTATGAAACATTTATATCAAGAGATAATGAAAAAAGAGCACATTCCCTAAAAAAAATCTACAAGACAATTGCAACAAAACAAAACAAAACAGAATACAACAAGGTGGGAGAAGGAACCAAGGGCATTCGCTTACCTGGAATTTTCTTTTTAGACCCTAGTTGTGTTGTATTCAGATTCATGTTTGCTTAGAGACCCAATGAGGCAGAACCTGGAATGTTATGGCTATTTCATTCAACAAAGTAATACTTGCACAAAAAATAAATATGCATACAAATATTTACTTAAAAGCATTCCTAAAAATTCATAAAACTATGGAAATAGATTTTTTCCATCAGCATGCAAAAATATTAAATCAACTGAAAATATTTTAGGTTTTGAGGATGCATGATGAATTGAGAAAGTATGTCCATTTATAAAACAAACTAAATGCTAGTAAAAATGCAAAACAGGACATATGTATTTCGGGTTTGGGGGTTTAAAATAGATACTTTCTTCCTTAATTAAATTTTCTTTCCCCAAAATTTTTACCAATTTTAGGGCTAATAATATGATACTGATAATATTATCTTTATGTTGAAGATGAATCAAATGTTTCTACTATTTTTTCTACATTTAAATATAAATGTTTAGTATTTTAGCATACCGTACTATTATATGCAATTTGTCATGTAAGTATCATGTGATATGGGGAAAAAAGGGTTTCGGCATTTTCATTTTCATACAAAAAATATAATACATCATATTGCAAAATACGTTATTTTTACATTAAAATTATTTAATGAGATGGGCTACCCATCTTGGTGAGGCAGTTATTTCCAAATAGCATTTCATATCTGAAAATATATTAAGTATTGATGAAAGCAAAATTCATGAATATGTGGCAGCAAATTAGCAATACAAATTTATAATATAAATTAAAACCATAATTTTTGTAGAAATAAATACTATATATGTGTAGAAATAAATGAAATATCTTTGGTCTGTGTGTGCTCACACACAAACACCTATGTATATAAATAGGACTTAGGAAGGGTCTGGATAGCATTGAAAAGGAAAAGGGAGAGGAAAAAATTGAGACACTATGGTTTAAATCGTTAATAAAAAGAGAAACTGGAGGCATTTCAGTCTCAGGTTCTAGGTGTCATCAAAAAATCTATTGATACTGACCGCTGGACGGCTTTGTCGTGGCGGGACAGCCTGTGACTCGTCGTTGGCACCTCCTCGATCTCGTCGATGTCACAGGCATCTGCAGCATCTTGCGAGTAGTTGTGTTTCATGACGAGGATGTTTCTTCTGCTCATGGGTGGGATGAGGGGTTTGATGGGCTGCGGGGGCATCTCTGTCAAGACAGAAGCATCTCTTGTGCTGAGGTTACTGCGGCTGCCTTTCGTACTGGACACTTGTGACCCACAGTGATGGTCGTGAACGCATTTGGAAGAGGATCTCCGCAGTTTATGGTAGTTTTCAAAGTCATCTGCCACATCTGCAAAGTCAGCTGTAGCTGCTGTCCCTCTTAGAGTACATAACTCATAATGAGGAGGTTCAAACACCTCCTGGAAAACTGTCTGGTCAAAGTCCGATTTCCTTTGGACATATTTTTTACGAGGCTGTTTGATCTGCACAATGACAGAAATGATAATAAGGATGATCACAATGCAGGAAGTCACGCCAATGACAGTCCCGCTGGTGTTGCTGAGCTGGTCCAACAGGCTGGTTTTCCTCTTCTCTACAGGTTGAGGAGAGTGAAAACAACAAACAAAACAAGAAACAATCCATCAGGCATTAATATGGTAGTCAGAGCACATAAAAAGGTGTACACTGAGCTGAGAATTTGTACAGGCTTAAGGTAACATGAACAAATCTTTAAAAATAAACAAGAAGCTTCCCTTTTCACAAGGACTCTATCTTTTAAACTTAGAGATAGACCTCCCATTGCCCAGCATCCCTACTTTCAACATACGCTTGAAAAAAGTTCTTACAAGATCTTTAGCAAGACATTTGGAAATAAATTAGTAATGTTAAAAACAGTAAATTATTTTTCTCCTCATAGGTGTAAGAAAACATCCAAACTCAACTAGTGGGAACACGACTCTACCTATATTGTTTTGAATTTATTCCTGACTTAAATAACTGAACTCACAATAACACCAATATTCTAATACCAAAAGGTAATTAAATTTCTTGACAGACACTTCTGGAATGGTATCATGACTCCATCTGTGGGCCTTTTCCCCAATGAAACAACCACAACTGGTAAAAATAATTAAAAACAAACAAAAATCTGTATCTATATTTATACTTATATATCTATATCTATACCTATATCTATCTATCTATCATCTATCATCGTTTCTGGATATTGTCATAATGGAAACAGCAAATGGAAGTATATTTATTCAGGGAAGTTTACTAAATTTCTTTAAGAACAGTGAGAATCTGTCCTTTAAACCCATTCCCCACCCCCACCCCAATTTGCCATGATGGACGCTTACTTAGGGAGGTTTCAGACAATAGCATAGGGCTTCCTCTCCCTAATGCTCCCCACTTAGAGCTACAGTACCTCCCCAACTGGAGCAAACCACAAGCATCTCTCACCACCCACCAAATCCATAGTGTGGGTACCTACTGTATTTAGGCAAGAGAGCCTGAGTTATCAAGGGTTCCATTCTTCCTCCCAGTCCCCATTGGTAGGATGGAAACCCTACACCAGGTGCAGAAGGCTGAGAATATGTGTCTCCCATCACCCTTGCCCAACCTTGCTCATAGAGTTGAACTGCCTGGAGAGGCAAGCTCAGAAGACAAGGGGTTACCACCCTCACCCAGTACCCTACTCATAAAGCAGAGGTGTTACTCCAAAAGAAGTTGGTCACTATCCCTGCCTCCTTTCAGCACCCAGAGCAGTAATGCAGACACTTTGCCAAGGAATGGAGGTGGGCCACAAGAACAGAGAGCACTATAGCTTTCCCCAAAGAAAGTTACATTTTTTGAAACAGTGTGGAAAAGTTCAAGCCTAAGGATATCTCAAAACAACAGACATTTTCTGGGAAGTGATTTAAGAGGAGACTGTCAAGCTCCACAGTAACAATGAGCCAGACACTAGAACAGGTAGAAATTTAACATAAAATACCAGGAAAATAACAGGTAAAGAAAGCCCTCCTAGTTTAGAACAAATCACAACGCCTAGACTCAAAGACTAACCCTCAAAGACTCTAAGACCAACTAAAGGAACTGAATTTAATTGGAACAATTTACACTCCTGGGAACTGTCCAAAATGACAGAATAATCATTTGGCAATTAATAGAGACTAATAGCTGGGTGTGATAAAAAGACAGACAAATAAACAGGACAGGAAAAGAATGGTCAGAGAGTGTCTTACTAAACCATGACCATCTGAAGCTACGGTATGCTTGCCCACAGCATGGTCTCCATGCAACACTATCAGTGACAGACATTGCTGAAACAGGCCAGCCAACTCTACACTGACAAACACATACACACACACACACACACACACACACACACACACACACACAACGATAGCAGCAACAAGCCCTGGGGAGAGAGGAATTAGTATCCAGAATTGCTACAATACATTATCTAACATGAATTTTCCAATAAAATATCCCAAAGCATGTAAACAAATGGTTTAATGCAATGCATACACAAGGGGAAAAAAGCCTAGGAGAGGGCCAGACATCAGACTTAACAGACAATGATTTGTTACAAATATGTTCAAGGAATTAAAGGAAATAATGGCTAGGAAGTAAAGAAAAATAGGAGAATAAGGTCTTATCATATGCAGAATAGCAACATAGAAACAAAAATTACACAAAAGAAAAAAGTGAAAAATCTAGAGTTGAATGGCACAGTTGCTGAAATAAAAACTTGATTTGAGTGACTCGGCAGCACATTTCAGCTGAAAGAGGAAAGTAGCAGCAAACTTGAGGAGAGATGAAGGAAAATTATACAATCTGAAGAAGACTAAGATCAAAAGATGCAGAAAAATGAACAGAGCCTCAGAAAATGAGACAAACCATCAATGGTACCAACCTAATGGATGAGAGTATAAGAAGGACAGAAAGTAACAGAAAAATATTCAAATAAATAAATAAAAGGTGAAAACTCCCCAAATTTGGTGAGCAAACTCCATCCAAGAATTTCAACAAATTCTGAGTAAGATAAATGAACTGATACCCACACTCCGACCTATAAGATAAAAAATGTTGCAAGAGAAAATCTTGAAAGCAGCAAGGAAAAAATAACTCCTCACATAGAAAGGAACCCCAATCAAATTAATAGCTGATTTATCATTAGAGATTTTGGAGGCCAGAAGACAGAGGCATGACACATTCAAAATGTTGTAGGCCAAAAAACCAAAACAAAAACCATTGATCAAAAATCGAATATCCAGCATACTAACTTTCAAAAATGGGGATAAAATACACATTTCCAGGTAAACAAAACTAAAGATAATTTAATGCTGAAAAAATGCCTTAAAAGAAATATTAAAAGAAATTATTGGGATTGAAAGTAAGTGACTTCAGACCCTAATTCAAACCCAAATTAAAAAATAGAAAGCAAATTAAAGAGGCAAGTAAATATTGCCAATAAGGGCCATTATATGCATAATTACAAAGGACTATATAGTTGCATATATATTTGGCATTCTTCCCTTAACTTCTTAAAAGAGTAATGTCATACGTATAAGATTGTAATCTTGGGCCTATAACTTAAAGAAATAGTAAATATTTGGTATTAACAATACAAGTGATGTAGGTAGGAGCAAAACTGTCCTAGAATAAGAAGTGACATCAGATGGGAATGTGAATCTACAAAAACAAAAGACGAGAATCATAAATGGTAAAGCAGAAGTGTTATGTAATGAACTACATGAATATGCTCTTGCTCTAAAATAATGTAAAGTAATAATTACAGCAATGTATTCTTTGATTTGAAAATACATAAAAATAATATGGACAAAAGTAACAGGTAAATAGAAAGAGAACAGAGCTATATTGAAATAATGTTATTAAATTAGTATAAATCTGCAATACATTCTGAGAAGTTAGGCTGTGTGTTATAAGACCTAAAGTAATCACTAAGAAAATAACTCAAAAAAATACATTAAAAGTCATTAAAGGAATTAAAATGTTACACTAGAATGTATTCACTTATAGCAAAAGAGACCAATAAAAGAAGAAAAGAGGAACAAAAATATGTGGGACAGAGAGGGGAAAAGAAGTAAAGTGGCAGATGTAAATCCAAATATACATCAATATCACCACTAAATATGAGTGGATTAAACGATCCAATCAAAAGGCAAATATTTTCAGAATGGATAAAAAAATAAGATCCAACTGTATACTGTCTATAGAAAACATACTCTATATTCAAAGATACAGATGGACTGAAAACAAAAGGATGGAAAAAGATTGAGTATACAAACGGCATTTAGAAGAAAGCTGGAGTGGATGTGCTAACATTAGACCAAATAAAACAAAAAGTGATTGGTTTTTAATGATCAATAAGAGGGCCAAGCCATCAGAAAAATACAACAATTTTAAACATATATGGACATAACAACTAAGCTCAAAAATACATAAAATGAAAATTTACAGAAGTGAAGAAAGCAGAAAATTCAACCATAATAGTTGGAGAATTGAACAGGTACTTTCAAAAATAGATAAAATATAAAGTATCATGTCATCTGCAAAGAGAGAGAGTTTGACTTCTTCATTGCCAACTTGAATACTTTTTTCTTTTTGTTGTCTGATTGCTGTTGCTAGGACTTCTCATACTATGTTGAACAAGAGTGACGAGAGTGGACATCCTTCTCGTGTTCCTGATCTCAAAGGGAAGGCTGTCAGTTTTTCCCCACTGAGGATGATATTTGCTGTGGGTTTTTCATAGATAGATTCTATGAAGTTGAGGAATGTTCCCTCTATCCCTACCCTTTGAAGGGTTTTAATCAGGGAACAGATTCTGTATCTTGCCAAATGCTTTTTCTGCATTGATTGAGAGGACCATGTGGTTCTTCTCTCTTCTCTTACTGATTTGTTCTATCACATTGATTGATTTGTGAATGTTGAACCACCCTTGCATCCCATGGATGAATCCCACCTGGTCATGGTGGATAATCTTTTTAATGTACTGTTGGATCCAAAGATAAACTGAAAATGGATAAAAGACCTCAATGTGAGGCAGGAATCTATCAAAATCTTAGAGGAGAGCAAGGCAGTAATCTCTTTGACATCGGTCACAGCAACTTCTTTCAAGATATGTCTCCAAAGGCAAAGGAAACAAAAGCGAAAATGAACTTTTGAGACTTCATCAAGATCAAAAGCTTCTGCACAGCAAAGGAAACAGTCAACAAAACAAAGAGGCAACCCACGGAATGGGAGAAGATATTCGCAAATGGCACTACAGACAAAGGACTGATATCCAAGATCTATAAAGAACTCCTCAAACTCAACATACACAAAACAGATAATCACATCAAAAAACAGGCAGAAGACATGAACAGACACCTCTCCAAAGAAGACATACAAATGGCTAACAGACACATGAAAAAATGTCCATCATCATTAGCCATCAGGGAAATTCAAATCAAAACCACATTGAGATACCAGCTTACACCAGTTAGAATGGCCAAAATCAACAAGACAGTAAATAACAAGTGTTGGAGAGGATGTGGATAAAGGAGAACCCTCTTACACTGTTGGTGGGAATGCAAGTTAGTGCAGCCACTTCGGAAAACAGTGTGGAGATTCCTTAAGAAATTAAAAATAGAGCTTCCCTATGACCTTGCAATTGCGCTACTGGATATTTATTCCAAAGATCCAGATGTAGTGAAAGAAGGGCCATCTGTGCCCCAATGTTCATAGCAGCAATGGCCACAGTTGCCAAACTGTGGAAGAGCCAAGATGCCCTTCAATGGACAAATGGATAAAGAAGATGTGGTCCATATATACTATGGAATATTATGTCTTCATCAGAAAAGGATGAATACCCAACTTTTATATCAACATGGACAGGACTGGAAAAGGTTATGCTGAGTGAAATAATTCAAGCAGAGAGAGTCAATTATTATATGGTTTCACTTACTTGTGGAGCATAAAGAATAACATGGAGGACATTAGGAGAAGGAAAGGAAAGGTGAACTGGGGGAAATTGGAGGGGGAGACGAAGCATGAGAGACTGTGGACTCTGAGAAACAAACTGAGGGTTTCGGAGGGGTGGGAGTGGGGGGGTTGGGTGAGCCTGGTGGTGGGTATTAAGGAGGGTACATATTGCATGTAACACTGGGTGTGGTGCATAAACAATGACTGTTGGAACACTGAAAAGAAATTAAATAAAATAAAATGGAAAAATAAATAAATACCTGGATCAGTCTATACCTAAACTGGACCTACTGACAGAGTCTTCAGTTACATACCAAATATATAATTGACCTTTAACAATGCAGGGGTTAGGGACACGATCCACATGTTTTTAAAAATCCATGTACAACTCTGACTCCCCCAAAAGCTAACTGCTAACAGCCTTTTGTTGACTGGAAACCTTATGATCATGTAAACAGTTGATTAACACTTAATTTGGTGGTGGGTATTAAGAAGGGCACGTATTGCATAGAGTACTGAGTGTCATGCATAAACAATGATTTTGGAACACAAAAAAATAAAATAAAATAAAACTTAAAATAAAACAAAAATAAAGTCCAAATGTAAAAAAAAAAAAAGATAAAATATGGTAGAAAATGAAAACAGAAACTGAAAATTTGAACAATGCTGTAAACCTACATCTCTAGAGCAAGCCACCTAATAATGGCAACATGCATTCTTTTCAAGGGTACATGGGACATTTTTTAGGATACACCCTATGTTAGTCTGTGGTACTAACTCCAATAAACTACAGGTAGGCCTCGTTTCCTCGCACATCACCTTGTTGCACTTCACAGATACTGATTTTCAACAACTGAAGGTTTATGGCAATCCTGCATCGAGGAAGTCTATCAGCACCCTTTTCCCAATAACATTTGCTCATTTTGTTTTGCTGTGTCACATTTTGATAATTCTTGCAATATTGCAAACATTTTCATTATTACTATATTTATTACAGTGACCTGTGACCACAGATTTTGACTTGCTGAAAGGTTTTGTGATGGCTAGCAGTTTTTAGCAGTAAGTACATTTTTTTTTAGCAGTAAGTACTTTTTAATTAAGCTGCATAATGCATTGCCTCTATACACATACTGCTATCACATCATTAATAGACTACAGTGTAGCATAAACAAATTTTATATCCACTAGGAAACCAAAAAATTCATTTGACTTGCTTTATTGCTACATCAGCTTTATTGTGGTGGTCTAGAATGGAACCCGCAGTATCTCTGAGGGTAGCCTGTCACAAAGATAGAAATGGTAAAGGTGTGTTCCCTACAAGAGAATGAAGTAGAAATCAAAATAGTGGTCTTGCCATCTGGAGAAGATAAACATGGAAGCTCATAAAACCTATCCATTCACATTCTCTTCACTTCTCTCTCATGTCAAATGGTCCTATATATGTAGGAACAAATCCCATTGGGCAAATAAAGCTTATGACTACCAATCATTAATGATGCTAATTTAAGATTCTACTACACAGAACTTACTTTCCCATCCATTCAGAAGTGGTTCCTTAAGTAATCACCTACTCCCACCATCAAAATAATCAAGGCTGCATATGCCTTTCTCCTTGACCATGAACCATGCCTACTATGGTGATGCCTCTTGGCTTCCATCCACAGAACACATTTTAATAGACAATACTGGACTTGCAGCATGAAAGGGTTAATTGCCTGTTCTTTTTCCTTTACAAATCAGTTAATATTGAACCTGAATAAAAGAATATGCCTGGCATTTTTCAGCTTAACTAAAACACGCAACATTCATAGCCAACCCATGGATTGTTATCTACATAAACAAACCTTTGTGTTCAAGCTAGAAAAGGGAGCAGGGACATTGGGAGCTATTTTCATTGGAAAGGAAGAAAAGCATTTTGGTAGCAAAACAGAAGTCAAGTTAAGTGGCTGGAAGTACCTGAAAGCACAAAGGTTCCTTTAGTGCACCTTTCCCCTAGAGTACGTGCACACAGTCCAGAGAAGACAGACTGGTGAGAGGTGCAGGCACAGAGGAAAGGCACTAGGTCTGACAGGAAAAACACTCCGCACTAAAAGCTGCCTTTCCTCTCCAGGGCTCTGCAGGCGCTAACAAGGTGTCTTTAATGAGCAATCAAATGTGAAAGATTCTCTACTATACATTAATGAATAAGGAAACTTCTGGCAAAAGCAAAGAAAGACGTTTACACATGAATTACAAAATATACAGGAGGCTCCACAAAGCCCATATGCATGTCAATTTTCAAGTCACTCTGATACATTTCCACATCCTAATAAAGGCTTCCCACTCTACAGGCAGAGGACTTCTGCAAATTTTTGATCATTACCTTTACAGTGATTCTCGTCCCAAGGATACACACAGTTCTGGAGTCCATTGCAGACCAGTGTATTGTTAATACACATGTTACTGTGGCAGAAGAATGTATTGCCTTCACAGGGAGCTAAAGATAAGAGTAGGAAAGGAAAATGAAGAAAAAAGTTAGACCTGATACTCAGTAGTAAATCACTCATATTGCAAATCTAAAAACAAAAAGAGTAGAATGATAATTTCCCGTCAAATTGAGATAAATCACCCAACATTCTGTTCTCAGAAGTGCTGCCATTGTGGTAATTATTCCTTGTGTTGCTAACAGGGCTGGCACTTCTCTAGATGTGCTTAGTTTATAAAACTGGCACAGGGGGTTTCCATCATAAAAATGAAGTACATTATCTATATGGGTCTTTTTTCTTTGACTCGGTGCATTCATTTAACGAAAATAAAGTGCCTGCTACATGGATAATGCTATGCTTTTCACTGAAATTCTGTCTGCACAAATGTAGTATTGTGCAAAAAGTCTTCATTCAATTAAGATTGAAGTCATTGCGTGAAGCACAGACTTGCAAAACACTAATGAAGAAAGTATGTATCAAACATCCTTATAGCATCACCCAAGAACATGAACAAAACAAAGAATGCCACGGAAATTCAGAACAAGGAAAATTAATCCTGAACAACATAAGAAAAAATGTACTGTTCTCGTCAACGTTTAACACATGCATGGTGATGAAATTAGCCTACTTTGCATGTATTTCACATGTCCTAGTAACTCTAGGTACAGTGATCCATGATCTCAGGTTGCAATGTACACTCAGGGTGTTGGGAGGTAAGATAAGAACACAGGGAAGGTATCCAATACATAGATATGAGAAATAGTGAGGAGTTTAACACAGCAAAGTGTAACATTAGATATGACTTCAATATTAGGAAATACATTTATTTATCAAAGTAATAGGATGTTTACAATCATCAGTCTCTGGAATAACAGTGAATTCGGGATGGTAGTTTATGGATCATGCTTTACAGCTAATTTTTGTTTTTACCTTCACAGTGATCCCACCTATCTTATAAAATGTGACTTTAGTGTTTCATTATTTCTCAATAATAGTTCTAAAACCCTTTTAAGGATAGATTCTAGAAAAACATATTCGATATAAAAAACATCATTTACAGTGGCTAATCGATGAGTAAAGATTTATTAATGATCAGTACTACTTAAATGCCAGTCATGTGGTAATGACTTTTTCACCTTCAAGACTATATATATCATGGGTATTTTAGAAAGTTAAATGTATTTGTTATACTAACCAAAAACGTCAGGCAAATAATTTGCATATTGCAACTTAGTGTATTTTAACACACCTAGAGAAATCCTAACAATAGAAATAACAAAAAAAAAAAAAAAACAAAACAAAAATACTCAAGTCTTGAAAATAAAAAAAAAGGCAAAGATAGAGCTAACTTAAGCAAAGTGACTCCTTCTGGATCTCCACAACCCTGCCTCCACACTCTTCCCTCGCCCTTCCCAGAAGGACAGTTCCTTCTTCCCTTGGCTTGGTTTGACTTTAGGTCCCCGGCTAAAGATTTAAAAATGTGTGGTGGTCATTTTGAAACAAAACAAAACATATTGTAGAGTAGAAAATATACAGTAGTCATTCTGAAAAGAAAATATCATGCTAAACATGGGCTGGTGACTTGTTAAGCATCATATAAGCCTTTTAGAATGTAAAATGTAATGATCTGATATATGATTGCAAAAATCTGCTCTTTAGTAAGGAATGAAATTTAAATTTCTGTATTCAGAAATGGCTTTTGCAGAACTGATACGGTCTGTTAAGCAGATAATGAATGTTGTCAAAATGTGCACATAGAACAAGAAGGAGTTTTCAGCAAATGGAGTGGCTGCAAAATGCCTTAGTAAAAAACAAATAAAAAAAAATAAATAAGTATGCCTTAATAGATTGGGGTGGTTCTGAAAGTACAGTTATCCATCAAGTAAAAAAAAAAAAAAAACCTTTAAGAGGGCATACATTTTATTGCTCTTCCAGAATAAGTTGGAAAAGTTGCTACAATTACTATTAAGTAGAATGGGTTAGTTTTTAAAATTTTAAGTATGTAAATAAAAATGACATTGGATTCTGTAATTAAATGCAATACAAGAGAATATTGGTAAGAGCGATGAAACTTGAATTGTGAATTCTCCAAATGGGATTTTGTTTTTAGTTCTGCTGGTTTGTAAGTTGTGAACGTCTCTTAAAAACCAATGTACCAGTATCAGCTATGGTTAAATATTGGTGGTTCGACCAGTAACCTAACAGGTAATCAGGACTGCCAAGAAATCACATTCCTGACGCACTTCTTTACATCAAGTGATTAGGGAAATGTGCCAGTTAATCATCTCGTTCTTTCCAATTATTATTATTCTAGGTACCATTCCATCTTCTTCTTCTTACTTTTGCCAGAATTTACAGAATTGCTATGAAAATGACAAACACAAATAAAGAAGCAAATCTTGCAGTGGGTAAGAAACAAATGTATAACAACTTATATTGGGTTCTGAATGTTCTCGTATGTCTGACTATTTTTCTCACGTAAATGCACATAGGCAATGGTTCATTAAAGATCTTATTTCTACCTCCCGCTCAAAAGACAAAACGGCACCTTCCTGCCTCCCAAAGCAAGCTATGTTCTTATTGTGCTTTCGAGGATGTCTGGACACATTCTACACACTGACATTATTTCCCATGACCCTCCGTACATTCCGGATATCTGTGGCTCAGAGGCCAAGTATGTTCCTCCCCTCTCTCTGTCCTGCAATAACCATTCTCCACTCTGCTATCCAAATCGTATCAGCACTGTATTCTCTGTGCAGTTTTGAAATATTACTCCAAGCTACCAAGAAAATTATCTTTTTCTTAAATCCTATTATACCTAAAATTTTCAAAAGAGCTTAGCATGTAGCATATGCTTATCATCTTTCCCCACATGTTCTTTGAGACTAAGGGCATGCCTCTTAAAAATGTTCATTTTTAATCTGTCATATGGCTTAACATTTCTAGGCTTATAGTAAATATTCAACAGATACTTTTAATTGATTACTGTTCCTGAGCAGAAGGTTAACTCTGGAGGTGCCTGGGTGGTTCCATTGGCTAAGCATCTGACTTTTGATTTGGGCTCAGGTCATGGTCTCAGGGTCTTGGGATCAAGCCCCGTGTCAGGCTCCACACTCTGCATGGAGACTGCTTGTCCCTCTCCCTCTGCTCCTCCCCCTGCTCTTTCTCTCTCTCAAATAAATAAATAAAATCCTTAAAAAAGAAAGAAAGAAAGAAAGAAAGAAAGAAAGAAAGAAAGAAAGAAAGAAAGAAAGGGGAAAAAAAAAAAAAAACAGATTAACTCTGGCCAGGGTGCCTACCTGAGTGTCCCAGAAAGCAGAAGACTGTAACAGGTGTGTTTATTAGTGGAGAGCTAGCCTTCAGGTATAATCCAATTTGTGATATTCTCAGAAACTACACCTCAATCATTTCCTTGGCTCTTACTATGGCAGAGAAAGACACATTCTACCGGTTTGCGAAGGACTTGTTCTACTTAGAAATTCAGTACGCATTGTCATAAGCTCTTGCCTCTTAAAAACCAGCCGCCTTATTTCCTATAACTACCTGTAACAAACTGAAGGATGAGATTTACCCACAAGAACATGGCCATCGAGGAAGCAATACTCAGTTCAGACTACCTCACATGCATGGTTCCCAACATCAAGAATCTACTTATTTCTGGAAGGAGGTTTTCTGTTGCTATCAGGATAGCAAATGTAGGGGCGCCTGGGTGGCTCAGTGGGTTGAAGCCTCTGCCTTCGGCTCAGGTCACGATCCCAGGGTCCTGGGATAAAGCCCCACGTCGGGGGGGGGGGTCTCTGCTCAGCAGGGAGCCTGCTTCCCCCTCTCTCTCTGCCTGCCCTCTCTGCCTTCTTGTGATCTCTGTCAAATAAATAAATAAAATCTTAAAAAAAAAGAATAACACATGTAGCTTGATACTGGCTTTTAAAAAACTAACTATATAGAAAAAAAAATATTTTCATGGCTTTTGTCTTTGAACTTTTTTTTTTTTTTTTTAGAGAGGGAGGAAGGGAGAGAGAGAGAGAGAGGGAATCGAGAGAATCTTCAGCACACCCCCCACTGAGTGCAGAGCCTGATGGACTTGATCTCACAACCTTGAGATCATGACCTGAGCCGAAATCAAGAGTCAAATGTTTAACTGGCTGAGCCACCCAGATACCCCATCTCTGAACTATTTTAAAGTGTACTGAAAAATGAGCACAGCTCTGCAACCTTGCTTCGTGGAAGGACTTACTGAACATCCCCATTTTATTATTTAGATACAATGCTAGGTATTTCGTTTTTAAGAGAAGGACAGAAACTGAATGTAGTGAACTACTCTAGTCAGTCAAAAGAACGTCGTGTGCACAACTGCAGCATTGCTCTTGATACAAATCCTGCAGGTAACATAGAAATTGGATATTCTAACCCCACAAAATGGGTTTTACCTCACCGTTCCCTCCTGCACCAAAATATATCCTTCTGTGCAAAGCATTATTATTATTATTATTATTATTATTATTATTATTTGGCTATATAAGAGACTGCACATTAGAACAAAGCTTAGCCTGTGTTTCTCCAGACACTTCAATCCAGGACAGCAGAGTCCTGATGACCCTATTGTGGGCAGAGCTGGGTTTCAGCTTCGAGGAGTGGTAATCCCAAAGGATAGATGGCTCCTTCCATGAACACTTACTAGTTATCACATCTGTAAAATGGGAATAAGGATCAGACTTACCTAAGTGATTTCATAATGCCGAGAACTGTGGATGCAAGCATTATAGCTGTGACCATAAGCTGTTCCAGGATGCAAGCATTGCACGGGGACTGTGGATCCAGACTGCTTGAGACTGAAACCCAGATCCACCCCTTTCCAGGCTGTGCAAACTTGAGCCAATGCTCCTTAAAATCCCCCAATTTCGGTTACACCTGTAGAAGGGAGGCTAGTCTTGACTACCACAAGCAGTTGTGAGAATGAAAGGTGATCTATCTTGAAAAACTGTAGCCAATATGGGATAGACACATGGTAGCT